TTCATAGAATTTCAAAATCAATTTCCCGGCGTTGTTGAGTACAAAATTTTTCAAGTGCAGTTCAGCGTTGTGTTAATGTTTTTCGTGAAACGGGCAGTGTAACAAGAAAAGAAGGAAGCGGCCGACCTAAAAAGCGGACTGAAGAATTAAAAGAAAATGTCCAACAAATAATGGAAAATGCGCCAAGAACTTCTGTACGTGTTTTATCACAAATGGTGGGAGTATCAGTCGGTACCTAAGTTGATTTTCCGCGACGGGCTGTATTTTGTGAATGGTTTTTAATCAACTAAGTACGGTGAACTTCATAATATCACCTTTTTTTCTGATGAAGCCTGGTTTCATTTAAGTGGATACGTAAACTCACAGGATATGAGAATGTGGTCTTCTGAAAAACCAGATAACTTTTTGGTCGAGGGCCCTCTACACCCTCAAAAAATTGGAGTTTGGTGTGCTCTCAATCGAAGGAGGATTTATGGACCTATTTTTTTTAATGGTACTCTTACTGCGCAAAGGTATAGAGAAGAAATTATCGCTCCTTTTGTTAACCAGCTGGAAGAAAACGAAATTACAAACTTTTACTTTCAACAAGATGGCGCAAGGGCACAAACGGCAGGCGAGACGATGAATATGTTGAGGGAAGTTTTCCAAAATCGACTAATAAGTCTCAATGCTGAACATGAATTTCCACCGAGGTCATGTGATATTACGCCGTGTGATTTCTTTTTGTGGCCTTACCTTAAAAACAATATTTTTGAACTGCCTATTCCTGATTTAAACCATCTGCAGACTCGACTTATAGACAAGATTCGTGAAATTAACAATACCCCGAGCATCTTAGAAAATGTCTTTAATTCTTTGAAGAACAGGTGTGAAAAGTGCTTGGAACAAGGAGGGGGACACTTTCAGCAGCTGCTTTAATTTATTGTTATAACAAGGAGGGGGGACACTTTCCGCAGCTCCTTTAATCGTTTGTTATTGTTATCACGATTATTCTTTAAAATAAAGTTATATAGTCATTAACGTTATTGAAACTGGCAGCTGCTATACAGCTCGTTGAGAAATGAGGTTAAGTTGGTCGCTATAAGCTACTCCCTACGTCCAATGTGTCAGAGCCAACTTCGACCACGTTTTTATTTGAACGCTCGTTATAAACATAGAAGATTCTTGAAATTTCCCAAAACTGTATATTCTTTAGAGCTAAATTTAAAACTTTTAGAAACATTTAATCGAAATTAAAAAGCGCCTTAATGTGAAGAAAACAGTTAAATTTAGTGCTGAAGATATTCGTTTTTCGGTATACATTTATTTTTAATAGTTGTGGCAGGGGTCAATGTCAAGAGTAATCTTTTAAACATTTATGGTTGTTTTGATGCTCAACTTTTTAAGCAATTCTAACTGACTGCGTCTATTATTATTACTATTGCCAATCATTTACAATGATGCAGTTATGGATGCTGGAAATGAAGTATCCTCTGCTCGGCGTTAGAGACCCTAATTTTTTACATTTCCACTGAAAATTAATAGTAATTCGTATTATTTTCACTTATCTTTCAATTCCATCAATTTCTACTCGTACCATAAAAAGGAATGTAAGAACCTAATGTTTTTTTTTTAATGAAAATTACCGATTTATTTATTTATGAAACTTTTTAGATATAGTACTGAGACAATGTAATAAAAATCTAGGCCACTCTTCCGTTTTATCTTTAATAACGGGTATATTTATAAATATTTCCTATTATGTTTGTAAATAATTATTAACAACCATTATAGCTGTCACAACTCAATGTTTTTGACAAAATATAATAGTCGTGCGTTTTTTATCTACTGTGTCTGTTTAGGTACAGTTCAGACAACTTTAACATTTGTCATATTCTATTCGCAATTATTTGAATCTTTAGGTATTCATTTTAGATAAACAGTGGCACCAAAATCGTTGCCTGATTTCGCAACATTTGCCCAACGAGAATTGTAAACAAAACACTGTCGTACTTCTAACCCCAGTATGATTTATCTCAAATTATCGCGGAACGACTTGTAAGAAAGTCACATTTTTTTACGCTTTATCAGTTCGACCATTTATCAAAATTTTTGGTCGCAAAATCAACAAAACATTTTAAGCAAGATCATCAATAAAAGCTCGACTAACGGCCTTTTTAACGCACTGTAAATACCGATTCTGATCTGTGCCATATTCTTGACCTAAATGATAACTCCACTGCGTAGATCCTTAGAAGATATATTCTAATAATTACAATAACATTAATAAGTAAACGTTCATCAATTTAATACTTTTTTTTGGGAATCTGAAAGAAGCTGAAAACTGGAACACATTACAAATTTGCCAGATCGGTCAAAAACGTTGTGAGTTTTGTTGAGCAAATTCTATGTATCGGTTAAGATCGCTACTGATTGCGGATCCCCCTCGCGCCACTTCCTCCATGAACTGATGAGTGACGTCATTGGTACTATACAGAGTGTTTATTAAGTACTTGTACAAGCCTTAAAGGATGAAACTTTGAATAATTTTAAGATAAAAAGTTCATATGAACATGGGTCCGCAACGTTTTGGTTCTTGAGATAGAGAACGTCCAAAAATTTTTTTTTTGGTATTTTGATTATTTTTTTGTTCAGTATGTCAATTTGACGAAATTCGGGAAATTCTAAAACAGAAGAGAGTCGCACGAAAAGAATAATCGCTGGTAGTAATCGACTTTTTCAGTACTGTTAGACTGAGAATTGAAGAGTTTGAAAATAATAATTACGACTTTTAGAAAGATGATATTTTTTTGTACCATAGTTGGTAGACAACCTATTTTTTTAGGTAAGGGTGGCATGGGTACCTGTACATCGCTCTAAAGTTTACGAATCATCTATATATCAGGTATAATTCGAGATATTGTTAAATTTAAGTATTTCTTTTTAGCTTATTCGACGGTACGAGCTTGTAGAATAGGCAAACTGTTATCTCCGCTAATCTTTTCGTATTAAAAAGGTAATAAATCCGCTATAACATCGCTGATAAGGTGGCAGTTTCAGGTATTTGTTAATGTCATGTTATGGTGAGGTGATTACAAGGAAATCGAAGTCTGATAGGACTGTCTTCGTATAAGGGGCTTGATAATGGTATCGACATATCCGGTTACGTTTTGCAAATGAACCGTTTAACCTGGACTTCCAGTGAAATTATTAAAAAAAAAACTCAAATCTACATTCTTTAGGTGATTTTGACGCAAAAAGTTCCTTGGAAAGAGTATAGTTTTTTTGGCACTCATTTTTTTTTAAAGAACATGTTAAATTTGCATTAAAGTAATTAAAACTAAACAGTAAAGTATTTTTTTTCGTCTTCAAAAGACCACAAAACTAGCAATCGAGCGTCAAAAAATATTGATTAGATCAAAAGTTAAAAACAGAAGTTTATTTATGACTTTTGAATTAAACATTTATAAACTGCGTTATTATTACCAGAACGTTTTGGCATCGCATCCTCTCATTCCTTATCACTGTCTAATAACTCACACGAAATCTGGAATCGGTAAGTTGAATAGTTTACAAGGTATGGCCTTATAAACAAATTAACTAATTATTAGTCTGGACGATCCCGAACATCTTCCACAATCGCACTGATTTCTTTCATGGTAGATTTCATAATAATACGTTGAAATCTATACTATATTTTTTTTTAATTTCAAATTTGCAACCTGGAAAGTTTTTTTTTTAGCCTTAGTTGCAAAATGACATATACGACGCACGCGCGTGGTATAGTTATATATTATTACATATTCGGAAAGCTTATGAAAAGAGCTTTCAAAATCGGCAAGATTCGTTGAAAAACAACGGAGTTACAGATTGTCAAATATATTATTTTCAAGCGAATTTCGATTTTTTAACGGCAGGACTATGAATATTATCGCCATTTTCTTCGGACTCGCTGTCGTTCGCTTCCCCCACCCTACAAAAGTCATAAATAAACTTCTGTTTATAACTTTTGATCTAATCAATATTTTTTTACGCTCGAGGGCTATTTTTGTAGGTCTTTTGAAGACGAAAAAAAAGTACTTTACTGTTTTCTCGTGGAAATGAACGGAAAAAAGTTATAAGCGAAAAACGTGAATTTACGTAAAAATTATACAATTAACCAGCCTGTAAACAATCTTCCCCCCATTTTTATGACTGTGGAAACTAATATGTTATTGTACATAATATTTAGCATCTATTGTGATAAATTCAGCTTGCGGAAACAAAAAGTTGCGAAATGGTAATTTCCCAGCTCTTTTTCCTGGCCTATAAGGTAACTTTGACGTTCTAATTATTGTTCTTATTTCTGATCATAACTTTTTAATGCAAATAGATAGAGAAAAATTCTTTAAATAAAAGTTTATCGGAGAAATATGTTCTTTAAATGGAAAAATATAAGTATGTATGTATGTTGAATGCGAGTAGAAAATCTAAAAATTTTTGCTAATTGTTTGACAGTCTATTGTTTGACTCGTCTATTCTGTTTGTCTTTTCACTGCAGAACCTTATACGAGGAAGAACGAGTCAATTGAGATTGTAGCATTTTTTCTTTTGCCAAGTCATCTCTGAAGATGCCGACAGTGAAGAACGGCGAAACGTTTGGAAGCAGTCAATATTACCAAGGAACTGATTGTAGTTATAATTAACTAATTTGCAAAATATAAAGATTATATCTTGTACTTAGCACAACTCTGGTTAGATGTCATTGTACCAGTTTCTACTACATATTTTTTTCTAATTCGAAGAGAGCTTTGAAAAACAAATGGTGTCTATAACAAATTGCTGTTAATGTTTTATGTTGTTGCCACTTGACGATTATTATTTCGTTCCAATTATAGAAATCTGGGTTTATTTCAATTATAAATTCGTGACGTGGTGATACGGAATAAATTTTTCTAGGTAATAGAGATATATTTGTATATTTCTCAGAAACTTCTTAGCAGGAACCATAATTCATATAGGTAAACAAACTAACGACTCACCATGGCTATGCATCGACAGGGTTGATGATAAGGACGGCAAAGAGTAAGATCCCACATCTGGCTCAGATTTCACTTTGTTCAGGTCGGTCGATAACAAATCCTGTAAATAAAACAACACTGGATTAGTCACTGGCTGCCAACTACTACGCTGTTGTTCTATTTGGAAAATTTGCGATACAATCTACTAAATATCTCACGTATTATTCCGTTCCCTATTTCAATTTCATCTATATATTTCGCATTTAATTCCCTTTGTAGTTTTCAGATGAACAGTGTAGGGTACAAGTGTAGACCCGGCTTAAAAGGCGTACCACCTTCAAACGTGGCCAGAATTCGAAACTAAGGCCTTTTCTTTCACTGATTCGTTGAAAGGCCGTTAAAATTTTATTATACACACTTGTCAAATAAAATATAACGAATTAATAAACAAAATTTGGCTGTCCCGAAGTGGCGTCTTGATTTATGGACTCGATGTTACATTGTTATGACACTTGTGAAAACACGACATTATTTCTCTATGAAATTATTATTTAACTGGTATTATTAGAGAATAGAGGGGGTCTGTTTTGAAGTCTTGTTTATACAAACACGTTGGAAACGAAATAGCGACATAATTCATAAGGAACGCAAAGTATAACAGGATTCTTTCAGGATTATTGAATGCTGTTGTCAAAATTTAATAGTGCTTAGATGTAAAGTTATTTTAACTGGCTATGGCTATGGCTATAGAATGATAGGAAAGACTCAAAAATACCAAAATACCATTTCTTTCTGATTTGTACATTCCATATTCTTTGGCTATTCTTTAAGCGTTTACATTTTTTCTCCTATTATTTGTGTTGCTCTTTGTAACTCCATTGTTTAAATAATTTATATGTATAATAATTTATGGTATACATTTTTGGTATTATTCACTATAGCGTCCTATTTTTGAGGGTGCTGAACAGGAATCTGAAGTTATTTTTGAACAGCCGAACCTAATTTTCGAGATATTTTTTTTTTTAATTCCAACCACGACACATAACACAACACTTGAACCTTTATTGGACGGATGGTCTATACATCTTTTAAAATAATTAGAGATATAATTACTGTGAAATATATTTTCAGTTTGAAAGAAAAATGTGTTAGAAACACACTAATTTATTAGCGAACATTGAAATATATTACATTAAATACAAGTTTTTAAATAGTAATATAAAAGGGTTATAAAGCAGTAAAGCACTTAAGGAGGTTCGATACCGAAAAAAAATGGTAAGAAAGTTTTCAAAATCATTGAAATCTGTTAATAAATATGCCAACTGCCTCGTGTCAAAATATCAGATTGATTGGCAATATAGTTTTTTTGAAAAATGATATTAAAAATTATGCTCTTTTACACAGGCTCTTATGGGAGTTGGGGAAAAAACTTTAATCAAACGTGAATATTGCTCTTAAAAATGGTTAGGATCGGGAAAATATAATTATAATTAAAGAATTAAATATTACTAAACACTTTAAAATAATAAAAATATGCACTTACAATATAATTATTGAGATAATGGAATGAATATATAACGTTTTGACAAATTTGTCTGTTACATCTGATCCAATGAAAGGAAATATGGCAATACTGTACGCTGTATTTAACGCATTGACTGACGCGCTATATTTGAATAGCTCGATTATAGACTATACAATTATTCCAGCGAAAACATATGTAGCAATAATTAATATTAAATACATTTTTCGTGATCTAATGCTATATCATAGCAACTTGAAACAAAAATTGAAAGGATCTCTTTGCAAAACGAACAGTATAGAATAGACGTTCTGTCACAATCTTCAATTTGACAAGGCGACGTCTCACTATCATACACTGAGCTTCTTGATAGTTATCATATCATATGGATTCTTGGTTTGCACATTTTACTTTTTTCTTATCAGTACCACATTCTGTTTCATACGCATTTTATATTGCTTTTCAGTCATTGCTTTTCCTTTGTATCTTGGATGTTCATTCATGTTTACGGAATAAGCGCAAAGCACAGTTGACAGTAATGACAGTTGACCCAACTTTTAACACCACGCCATGGCAATGTTGCCAGATTTCATCCATAATTTTACAAGCTCCTAATGAATAAATAGACACTTTTATTCAAATAAAAAGTTAATTGCCGTGCATTAAACACGAAAAATATATGCAAGCTAATATGTGTTGTATAAATTTCATTCGTATATATTATATTTAGTTCACTCAAATTAGTTTATTATGTAAGGTTGGTACTACAACGAAACTACCGTGTATAAGTATAGGCTTCCCTCCCGCACCGCCCAAAATTATGTATTTGGAAAAAGAAATAAAATTATTTATATTCTGTTATATACTGTTATATTTATATGGCCAGCAACATATTTTGATAATTTAACGTAGCAAATGAATTATAGGTATTATTATAAAACAATACAACCTAACCTAATCTAACTTTAGGTGAATTAAACCGAAAATTTTTCTCACATTTAAGACGACATTTGGACTACAAACTGCCAAAGCAATTAATTTATTTTTGATTTTTAATTTTATTCTCAGTTTTGGTGTGAAATTTTCTTACCGAATACCACACGTGTTTAAATTATATCCGGAAATTTTTTCTTGTCAATATTTTTAGGAAATTATGAAAATTATCTCTCGTCTTCGCGACCTCGAAAAAAAAAATCCGAATATAATTTAAGTACAATTTTTTTTAAGAAGGATACTTCTCATCTACTCTCTCTATACAGTATGTCCCAGGATAGGGTACCGCACTTTTTATTGTTGATTTTTCAATCAAAAATTTAATAAAATATACAGGGCGTTCAGAAACTTTCAAAATATGAACATTTCCCTAAGCAGTGTCTTTGATTTTTGTTAAAAAATAAAAACAGTATTTAACAAAGTTGTTCGAGAACTCAAGAAATGCTTAAATACGGGGTTTAGTCAAAAAAAGCAGAATACTCACATTTTGCAAATAAGAAGACGTCATTTTAACTAACTTACTTAAATAAGTAAACTTTTATTTTAAATTAAATATAAGTAATATAAAAACAGCTTGGTAGAACAATTTTCGGGTTGGTTGCCATGTAGTCGGTTCAGGTTTCTTCATGTTTCGAGAGACATATCGCTCTCTTCCTCAAAAGTAACTCTGAAAGGTTACGATTTTTTGAAAAGAGCGATATGTCTCTCGAAACGTCAAGAAACCTAAACCGACGACACAGTGGTCAAAAATCCATAAAACCCGATCGAAATCTAAATGCTAATGGGAAATGACCATTTCGCGACTTTTTGTTTCGGCAACCTGAATTTATCACTATAGATGCTAAATATTATGTACAATAACATATTAGTTCCCACAGTCATAAAAATGAGGGGAAGAGTGTTTACAGGGTGGTTAATTGTATATTTTTTACGTAAATTCACGTTTTCCGTTTATAACTTTTTTCCGTTCATTTCCACGAGAAAATAGTAATGTACTTTTTTTTTTCGTCTTCAAAAGACCTACAAAACTAGATCTCGAGCGTCAAAAAATATTGATTAGATCAAAAGTTATAAACAGAAGAAGTTTATTTATGACTTGAATTAAACATTTATAAACTGCGGTATTATTTCCAGAACGTTTTGGCATCCTCTCATTCCTTATCACTGTCTAAAAACTCACACGAAATCTGGAATCGGTAAGTTGAATAGTTTACAAGTTATGGCCTTATAAACAAATTAACTAATTATTAGTTGGATGATCCCGAGGATCTTCCACAATCACACTGATTTTTTTCAAGGTAGATTTCATAATAATACGTTGAAATCTATAATTTTTTTGTAATTTCAAATTTGCAACCTGGATTGTTTTTTATTTGTTGCAAAATGAAATATACGACGCACGAGCGTGATATAGTTATATTATTACATAATTATTCGGAAAGCTTATGAAAAGAGCTTCCGAATACTTTTCCATGTAAAAATATTTTATTTGTGGAAGTATGTTAAGTGCATAAGAAATTTGACAATAGTCAAGAGTCAGTGGGTCGCTTGATTTTCGGCGAGCCGAGGTGCGGGGGAAGCGAACGACAGCGAGTCCGAAGAAAATGACGATAATATTCATAGTCCTGCCATTAAACAAGCGAAATTCCATTGAAAATAATATATTTGACAGTCTGTAACTTTGTTGTTTTTCAACGAATCTTGACGTTATTTTTTTAACTTAAAGCTCTTTATATAAGCTTTCCGAATAATTATGAATAATATATCACGCTCGTGCGTCGTATATTTCATTTTGCAATTAAGGCTCAAAAATAAAAAAAAATCCAGGTTGCAAATTTGAAATTACAAAAAATGATAGATTTCAATGTATTATTATGAAATCTACCATGAAAAAAATCAGTGCGATTATGGAAGATCCTTGGGATCGTCCAGACTAATAATTAATTAATTTGTTTATAAGGTCATAACTTGTAAACTATTCAACTTACCGATTGCAGATTTCGTGTGAGTTATTAGACAGTGATAAGGAATAAGAAGATGCGATGCCAAAACGTTCTGGTAATAATAACGCAGTTTATAAATGTTAAATTCAAAAATCATAAATAAACTTCTTCTGTTTATAACTTTTGATATAATCAATATTTTTTGACGCTCGAGGGCTAGTTTTTTAGGTATTTTGAGGACGAAAAAAAAAGTACTTCACTGTTTTCTCCTTAAAAAGTTATAAGCGAAAAACGTGAGTTTACGTAAAAATTATTCAATTAACCACCCTGTAAACAATCTTCCCCCCATTTTTATGACTGTGGAAACTAATATGTTATTGTACATGAAATATAGCATCTATAGTGATAAATTCAGTTTGACGAAACAAAAAGTGGCGTCCAACTCTATATTTTCTAGACTATATTAGAAAAACTTTCGAAATGATTAGAAACTAATGACGACACTTGCAAAAATGATCGACATCAGAAAATAATGTGTTGGTATCTGCTTGGATCCTACGAAGAATGTGCAGCGTTAGAAATACATCTCGTAGACGCAGTAGGGAAAAATAACGAAACGCTTCAGCTCAAGATTAATTCCGATGAATGCTTTTCAAGTGGGTG